AACTGTTAACCCATTAGTAGGAAGCCTAACAAAGTGGAGGGCGAAAACTTACTATCGTGGAGGCAAGTTCCGTGGTGCCAGAGAAACCGCGTCTTCCTTCTCTTCCTTTCCTTGTATCTGTCTCCAAGTCCATCTCATAAAGATATGAGCCCAATGTCCAATAGCAGCGAAGACCAAAACAGGAGTACCCAACGCAACGTTCCAAGCAGGCTCGTTCTCAATACTCTGAGAGAGGAAAAGACCCCAAGTTGCGATAAGTGTCCCGACTGAGAGCAAGAAGAAGGGGCCCCAGAAAAAGAAGATGAGATCTTCGTGGTGGCAGAAGTTGATGGCGAGTCCAGCGAAAGCTATCAGGATGACGATGGGGATCATAATGATTGCGCATGCCAAGCTCCCCCATAAGAGACGACTTTCTGCTTTGTTGTGTTTCATTCGAACTTTTTCGATATCTCCTTCGGTCGACTCTTCAGAATGCCATTCTGAGACGTGTTCAGCGAGTTGGAAGCTCCTACGGGGTAAGTTAGCACGTGTTGTATAGGAATAATGATCGAGGACTCGAATGAAATATGTAGAGGAGTACTCACTTATGTCTTCTCGCCGAGCTGGCGTACAGAATCCCTACAACGACTAACAAAAATATAACCAAAACGAAACATCCCCAGAAGATACCATTTGCTTCTCGATGGCTAACACCTGAAAGGAATCGGGCGTACCTCTTGCATTTCTCGGGGCTGACTTGGTTGGGGTTCGGAGCCATGCTACATCGTCATCAGTACTTGCTTTTACCCTATGAGCAAAGGGATTTTCTTACCTGAATGCAGTAATGAGTTTGGGTATATATGCGTTATTCGAACTTCTCAAATGGGTAAATCAATATTGAAAGCAGTGTTTGGTTAATGAGGGTGGTTGGCAGCTGATATTTGTTCCTGGTCTGAGAATACTCGAGTAATGTAAGGCGTCAAGAAATGGAGTTTGTGGGATATTTAAATGTCACGGAAGCAGTCTAGACCTACTCTAAGAAAACGTCATGGGTTCAAAGTATGGGGGAGGCTCAAGTGTGGAAACGACGATCATAGGGCTGAGCTAGTGACGGGCTAGTCCTCGATTCCACTCGGGACCCAATTTAAAGTCGTCCTAGGACCAAACACGTTCATCAGTTCTGGAAATCCATGGGCTATATTTCGTTCCTAAAAGTTATTGACAGTCCGCTTCTGGGGCTGGTCCCAAGGTTTCTCGCGAGTCGCTAGGAAAGGGTCAAGTGACTGACATGATCTCAATTACTCTCGATGCGTCAGATATTGCACCAGGTGCCTTCCTATCGCGCCAGCAAACGAGACAAGACATGTCAGAAATTGAAGCTAGGCAGCGAAGGACGACCTGAAAGGCAGAGGACATTAAAACGACAAGAGCGTGCGATTGCAAATACAGCAGAGTGAAGACAAAACTATTCTTTCCATGCAAGGGTAGATCGTAAGCACGAAACGATGAGACTAAGCCAGTAAACATTCCCAAAGTCAATGACTTCGTTGGTATACAATACTCAAGTCTATAAACAAACCTAGGCTCCTCTTTGCTAGTGTAACCGCTAATAATAATCAGTTCCGACCGTGGTATCATTCATATCCCATGCAACGCAATGCCATGCTATAACCCAATATCCATTCCATCCTACGCCTGCAGAAACCCAACCCGATTGAATCCACGTCAAATTCACCCGAAACAATAAACACCAGTTCATGCAACCATCATCCATCAATCATAACTCCCCATCATGACCCTCGTGAGGCTCAATCGCCTGAAAATTCCTAAGCTCCTCATCCTCCAAGGTATTGACGAAAGCACGTCTGATGAACCGCAACCAGACTTTGTTCTTCTCATGCTGTTTGTGATGCTTCTTCTTCTTGTGCTTCTCGCCTGATGGCGAAATTTCGCCATCGGACTCTCTCTCCTCGTTCGAGTGATGATCAGTGTGCTCACTGGCGTCTTCATCTATTTGATCGCCCTTTTCTGGCTTGTATTGCCCGATTCTGTGAGCGAGCTTGATATAGCTCTTCACGGTCAAGTCCTTCATCTTGTAGATCTTATCTGTGAAAGTGTCGTACTCGACCTGATATTGGAAAGCCTTGGGCTTGGGCTCCTTGTCCTTTGGATGCTTGCCCTTGTGTTTTCCTTCGTGCCACTTCTCTTCTCCAACTTCTTCCGGCTCATCTCCAGGAGTGATCGGCTGATCGTTGTTGATATGTGTCAGATTGGCGAAGTACTGTGTGTAGCCGAGCAATGTCAAGGATTGCGGGGAGTATGCCGGGCCTGGGGGCGAGCTCTTTGATGGAGCCTTTGGGAGGATGAGATCTGGGTTGGAAGGCTTCTTCTTCTTTTCATCCTTCTTGCCCTTATTTTTCTTCTTGGCAAGCTCGATCTCGTCGTCGTATGAGGAGTCCTGCAAGTCCGTAGAGCTCGTGTCCTTGGTACTCAAATGTTGCTCTTCGTCAAGCCAATCCAGTTGTTGCTTCGACCCTGCACTCTGAACGCTGGCCCACGTAGCTGTGGTATCCAGACCGGTGATGTTGTACTCGACTACTCGTAGAGTAGGGAAGTAGTTCGGCACAACACTTGGGCTGACCAATGTAACCTGGAACCGTTCGCCCCATGGACCACCCATCTTCTTCAGTGCTTTGTCCTTTTTGCTCTTGTCTTTCTTGCCCTTCTTCTTCTTCTTCGCCATCTCGTCCAGTTTATCATCGTCCGATGCGTCCAAAGGTTTCATGGCGACGGAGGGATTGGGCAAACCGGACCAGAATTCTCGCAGTTCTTCGAGATAATCGTTCGCCGACATGATTGAAAGCTCGTCTCCCATGAAAGCACGAACTACTTCCTCTTTCTCAGACACTTCATCCTCCTCAGAGAGAATGTCAACCTGCTTGGTATCCTGTAGAAGGAAATGATCGATATTCATGTGTCCGAAGAGACCTGAAATAACCACATCTCGATATTGCTGCAGCCATAATGTATATTTCTGCCAACATGTCTCGTCCCATAGTTGCTTGCTGTCTGTTCTCGCAGGAGGAACATGTCCGATGAGGATAGCTTTCATGCCGCGTTCGCGCATGAACTGAAGCTGGACTCGAAGCCATTCGAAATGTTCGTAGCCTGGTTCGGACCGCAGGGCACAGCCGTCGACACCAGCATTGTGGTCGAAGAAGTAGAGCGTATTGAGACTGAAGACTGCCAATTTCTTGGGTATGACCTCGACGTAGTACCATCCTCCTCGCTCGAATCCATGCCTCTGCTCCTCTGGGATGAACTTGCTCCAAATGTTCGTGTACGACTTTAACCACTTATTCGGACCCGAGAGAAGGATATTGTGTGGAAGGATATCATTGTTGCCAAAGGTCGAGACAATCGGTATGGATTGCTGCTTGCCCGACTCATCTGCGAAAGTTTCCAAGAACTTCTCCGCGACCCATCGATTCGTACCCAGGACCTCGTCTTGATTTCTCGGAATGTTCTCATCACTATCGTGTCGCGCAGAGTCGCCCGTCCAGACTACAAAATCGACCTGGTCTCGCAGATTCTCCTTAATCCACTTGAACGTCGCGTTCACAAGGGAGTACGGTGAATCGCAATCCGACGTTTCGGCGCCATATGTGCCTGCAAGTCCCTTTCCGCGGTGACAAGCATCTTCTTCTTCGGTCGACGAATGAATCTTATAATAAGGATCGGGATGCAGGTCTAAACACGATCAGCATCGTACCGTACCATCGAAAGATAAGAAGGCTGACGCACCTGTGATATGCAGGAATCTGCCGTGGAGTTGTCGCTGCGATGCTTGTGGATGTCCGACTGCAAGGTCCTCCAATGGGGCTTGCAGGACCGCCTGCGAATCGATAGGCGTCCCATATGAAATTTTGAGCAGACATGCTGCCAAAAGAAATGCTTCTAAATGCATTTTCTTCGAAACAATCTTGAAAAGTGGGATACTTAGGAGAGATATGACATGCTCAAATATAACGTGTGCGCAGGAACCAGAAAAGATCTGTTCCGATGCTGCCAGGCACCAGAAGCACGCTGACGTTCGTGGCTTCCCGTTACTGGGCTTTGAACGGGAATGTCAAAGCTTGACTCCCGATGTGTTTCCGGTCTTGAAATAGAGAATTCGATGTTTGAAAGTAGCAAAATTGAAGTAGAAGTAGAAGAAAACGAAGTGCAGTGTAAGATCATCTCGGGGTTCACTCTCTAATATTCTCTTTCCGTATTCAGCTCTCAAGGTGTCTCAGCCAGCGAGAGATCCGCCTCCTCGAGGTTGAGAACGCTGGCCAATCAATCGATACACGTGTAGTGAATGGAGTCAGATGGAGGTCATGGAGGTTCCTTCTTTCGACAAGATATCGATTTCCCTTTTGCTCCTGAGTGAACTCACGCGACCCTTGCGGGTGGATGGATCTTGGCTGTCTCCAAGACATGCATCTTGATTTGCCTTCTGTTCATTCAACCAAATATGCGAGTCAGCAACATTAATAACTCCGTGAATTATGACCCCCACGAAAAGACGCCATAATGTACTGTAGACGCAGTACACTAGGAATATTTCGAGTGAGCAGATTCTTGACGGAAGAGGAAAGTTTATTGAATCTTACTTTGGGGTGACACGGCGTTGTGATCTGAGCAGGGGATTTGATGTGCATTTAGCATCAGCTGGACGGCTCCAACACACTATGTGAGATATGCGACTTGCGTGTAGGAAGCATGGTAGGAGAGTAAATAGAAGGAAAATATAGAGAACGAGTAGAAGAAGAAAATATAAATAAGTTGTGGAAGGCGTGAAGCAAAGCAGTCTTTTCTGTCCTGCAGGACCCTGAACCAAGTAAAGCGCCTGCTGCGCCAAAGACCGATCATGTGGCGCCACGATTTTCCCGACCAACCTTTTTTCTCGTGAAATTTCCGTACGGCCAGTATAGATTTAGATAAGCACAATTTTTCTATCAATTCACCAATTGTCTAAAGGCATCATGGCGGAGTGGTTATCGCGCTAGCCTAGAAAGCTAGTTCCTTCGGGAGCGCAGGTTCGAGTCCTGCTGATGTCGTTTCTTTTGCCTTTCTTTTTGCACCTTCTTGCAAATGGTTTATGTTCCAGTTGAGGGGGGCATTCTTTTTTGCAGTCTTGTTTCGAGGTTTTGTGTGCATCTGGCTCGTTAAATGCGGGCGGAGATCGCCTGTGCTTCCGTAGTTGTGATCGATCTACCGAGGCCGATGAAACTTTTTTATGTTTCACTTTTGATATTTGGTTTTCTACTCGTCACATCGACTGTGAAATGGAAAAGATAATTTTAATCCTGAGGAACGCAATGATCAGCTATGAAATGTATTTATGCACCAAAGTCGAGTACCTCGCTCTTAGCCTCCCTTCTAACTTCTAAGCGAGGACACCTCCCCCTTTTCGAGCTACCCATTGCAAAGGTCTCAAGGTCCTTTCACAAAGCTTGCTAATTGGTCGCGCTCTTAACGGCACATCAAGTGAATATCTAGAAAGTTGGGCGGATACGGACGTTGAAATTTGTTGAACCTCCATGCCGCTGTTCATCTCACCAACTTACGGTATTGTGACCAGAGATCGACTAATTATTGCACATCGAAACCGCTGTTCACTTACACGCTTTCCTACCCTAGCAAGTATAGAAATCAAATATCCTGGAAAGATAAGAGAGGTGTCCGGACAAAAATAGACAGTTTCCTGACTTTTTGCATGCTGTCAGCAGTCCAATTACATGAGCGCGGAAAAGACTTATGGTTGCGATGCGCAACAGAGAAGAATAAGCAAGCGAGAGAACGGGGAAGGTAAAATCGTCTCAGACTGGCTGCGCAAGGAGGCGGAAGTGTCTGCCGCTCGACGATGTGCAGTATGAAACGGAAAAGACATGACCCGTTAAGCGTAGACGGAAAAGGAGATGTAGCGGAAGCTTTATCCGCTTTGCGACATCCAGGGGAAACGGGAAAGAATAAATATACTCATCGGAAAAGCATTACAGATCGCGACGTGCAATAGTATCCAGAGATGAAGATGTGTTGTAACCAAGAATTAGCTCAAAATAGAATTCTATGCTTTGATCCAAGATACCACACCCACCCACCCTCATCACGCATCCACAGCTTAGAAACGCTACTCCTCCCTTTCCTTTTTCTTCTTTAATCGTTTCATCAAGAATTTGGAACAGGTTTTGATCCATCCATCCAGAGTTTCAGTGCACCACATCAGTAATCTACTGAAGAAGAACAGTGCCAGAAACGAGAATGTCATGATAACCGCAAAAGCATACCAATAGTCTTTCGATGTATACACCCCTTGCAAATCGCTGATCTGAATGGAGAAGTAGCTGGTCATGAGACCAACGGGGAGGAACAGGACGCTAAGCTTGGCAAGCAATGTTGCAGCCCGAGTTAAACGTGCTGTTGATTCCGAGTCTTTCTGAGCGATGATATTAAAGTACTACATTGCGTTAGCGAGTACAAATGTACAGTGGGTAGGGGGGAGAAGCTACTGTGGCGGAAAGGGCATCTTTTTCTGCGAGCGACTCTGTCATCTGGGCGATAATGAGTAGATCTAACCTGTCTTTCAGACGCCCGAAGCGCTGCCTGGCAGACTGGGCTAGAACGACACCTGTGTGAACATTCACGGAAGCGAGATCACCCAGACTGCTCGTGATGGCGGACGGCGAGTCTAGTATGCGTTGAACGAGGTTCTTGTACCCCGTGTACAGGTGTTGTAGCTGGCGACCTTTTCGACCAAGAACGTGAAGGCGGGGTATAATTTCGTTATCTTGAATCTGGTACGACTTCTTGTACATTTCGAAGATGATCGCGTGCTCAAGTTGCTCCAGGCGTTTCTTGTACTTTGCGACTGTAGTGTAGACAGCTTGCCAGTCGTCAAATAGATAGTAGAATAGTAGACTCGTTCCTTCTACGCCAGGGTTTGTATCATGAAGATCTTCTTTAAGAGATTGGCGGATGGTAATCATCGAGATGGCATTAGTGCTTTGATGGCCGCACTTCGAGATCTGACTTAGAACACTGAGAGTATTTGCTCGAAAAGATACCAGGTCCCTTGTGTCCTGAACGTGCCCGGGGTGCTCGTGCAAAGAGAGCACAGTGTCTATAGGTTATCAGAGGACGGTTTTCAAAATGATATGACAGATTGCATACTATCGTCGCAAAGCACCAACCAAGACCACAGTCTCCTTTGAGCCCCCTCGGAAATGATATCAATGTCGGAACGTTCAGTCTGTGTTACAATCTCATGCATGAAGTTTGCACCAACACAAATGGCTATTGGATCTATCAGAAACTTTCAATCACCACTGTCTATGAAGGGCCTTACAATGGTTGCCAATGTCAATCGACTGATAATTAGTCATTTGATCTGCCAGGGCATAATGGCTGATGCCATCCGACGACTGTATTCTCGGTGGCTCTGCCATCTCCAAGGGAACTCCGTGTGACATCTTCTCTTCAGAGTGGTCTGAGGCCTCTGCTAGAGCATCAGCTACTTCCACATCATGCTTCCAATGCAGTTTTGTTTTGAATTTGCTGATCGGCTTCGTCTTCGGCTTCGACCCAAGTGGTTTAGTCTTCATTATCGCGAGTAGTCTAGGAGAGAAGTCATAATGCTTTCCCAGCAACTCGACTATATCCGCTTGAACATGAGGCCCCCAAAGATTGCTGTTCAAAGCAGATTCGTTAGCATAAGGTCGAGTTTTGGGTCATCGGAGAGCACAACTGAACTCACATCCATCTTACAGGCCGGTCTGCTGGAGGAGGATTGTCAATGAGCGTCTGCACATGCTCTGCTCCAATATCGAATGCTATCCGAGCTTGGGATCTGCCAAATTCGACGACGAAGTTGCGTGTCTGCTGGAGCAGCGCCCGATTCTGGCTGATCTCATAGACCTTAGCATCATCATAGTTATCGAACGGAATATCGAACTCCATGGTAGCGGTTGTATTTCTCGGCGTTTGCAACGCCCTCGAGAGGAAGGATGGACATGTTGGAGGTTTTGTTTGCTTGTTGTTGGAAGCGCGTAAGGCTGCAGGAGGCTGAGGTTGTGTGAGACAGGGTGCTCAGCTGAACGCTCAGAGGGCTTTTTAGCGCACTGCTAACCTGAAGCTTGTTACTCGTTTTGACCGGCTAACCGCCCTGTCTTACTAAACGCTCAACCAAAAAATCGCTAATTAAGCGTTTAATAATATTAAGCGTTTACCTAGTTAAAACGAATATTGAAAATAAATACTTTTTTTACTTTAACAATTATAATACACTTTTTATAATAATATATTTAGTATGAGAAGATAGCGCTTACTTGCGCGAGCAATTCTACCCTATTTACATAAAATTCCATTGGATTTTGGTAGAGTTATAGTGTTTTTTTAAAATAAAATAAATCGCGATTTTTTGGTTGGGCGTTTAGTAAGACTGGGCGTTTACCCGGTCAAAACGAGTACCCCTTGCTACATGTGTCACTCTTCCTTCCTCTCTAGTGAGTCACGATCCCAACATCAGAGGGTACAAGTATATGCTCTGCCGCTTCGATCGTCTTACTTACTGTTAGCATGTTCACATGTTTCGTCTTGTGATTTTGTAATCTTACGACCCCAAACTGCAGCATAGTCTCTGATCTCGAGTAGAATTCTCCTCCCAAGTACCAGTCACCATGACTTTCGAGATCGTTCAGATCCCACATGACGATGAAAGTGTTCGTACTCATGTTGAACGATACAAAACCTTTAGACTATACGCCCTAAAGACTGCACCAAACTGTTTCGGCTCTACCTACGCGAGAGAGATCGCTTTCACCGACGACGTCTGGTACAACCGTTTGGCCAATCCGATAGCCACCACCTTCATTGCCGTTCGATCAGATTGTATAATCTCTACTTTGACTGCAATGGGACCTCTGCCTTGTGCTCCAGAAGAGTAAGTGTACTCGGCTTTAATCCTGTCTCTCAGAATTATCCATCAATTTGTGTCTTATTTTTGATCAGATAATAAATCTCATCTCTACTTTCGCGCAATCAACGGAAGCCCTTCCCTAACAATACATCCTCAGATCTCCTGTTTCAGGAGACCCTTGGGCGCTCAGTACGGACCCGGTTGCTTCAACGCAATTGCACTTCCGCGTGAACGGAATGTTCACAATACCTGAAGCTCGTGGCCAAGGTGCTGCTAAAGCACTACTAGACTGCTTCTTCGAGTTCGGGACAGAAGAGGCGGGTAAAGCTGGAAAGAAGTTTGTCACTAGCATCGTGGTTGATGCAGATAATCTTCCGGCAATGAAACTCTACGAGAAATGTGGATATGTGGCAGTGAGAGAGGAACCACACGGTCTTTCCAGAATAGCGGTACTTATGAAGTACCCATCAAGTCCTTCTGAGGCAACACCATCTGTTTAGTTTTCGTCTTTTAGGTTGGATTCGTTGTCCGCTGCATTTTAGAGATGTTTGGGGGTCGATTATCTAAGATAGAGAGATGGGACAGCTCACGTAGATGAGAGTTTACTTGTTCCAGACAGTTGCACATGCTAGGGCTTTTGAACCTTCCCGTTGTACAACTTCAATGTCAAGCACCTGTCTGAACTTTGAGCTTTGGCAAGATGTTCTCAGCTCGGCCATACTCGTAAAGCCACATCCAAGGCCAGTGCTGATCACTTGTCCTGTTAGGGTTTTGTATTTGTGGCAGTACATCTGCATCAACGCCACACCTCTCCTCTCGACAAATGGCGATGCTTCATTTATCTGCAAGGTTTCTCGGATCGAGCCCGCGCTACTAAGAAAACAAGGAAGCAACGATAGCCTGACGTATCAACGAGGCCTCATTTCGAGTTCTGGTGGTACGTTGGAACTCGTGCATTTGCCACATCATAGGTTCGGCAACAGATAATATCAGCCTTGCTGCTCCTCACTTCTTGTCGTCTATTCCAAATGTTTGCCAACCACAACAAAATGGGACGAACTTGTTGATGTTGAAGACACAACAATAGCGACAGTATTTGGCGTTTCAGATACGGTATCTGATCTCGACATCTACACGTTTGTT